CAATTTTAGTGACACTGGTTTTAATCTGGACAGTTTTAGTGACACTGATTTTAATCTGAACAGTTTTAGTGCCACTGATTTTAATCTGAACAGTTTTAGTGACACTGGTTTTAATCTGGACAGTTTTAGTGACACTGGTTTTAATCTGTTCAGTTTTAGTGACACTGGTTTTAATCTGTACAGTTTTAGTGACAATGGTTTTAATCTGGACAGTTTTTGTGACACTGGTTTTAATCTGGACAGTTTTAGTGACTGGTTTTAATCTGGACAGTTTTAGTGACTGGTTTTATTATGTTCAGTTTTAGTGACACTGGTTTTAATCTGTTCAATTTTAGTGACACTGGTTTTAATCTGAACAGTTTTAGTGACTGGTTTTATTCTGTTCAGTTTTAGTGACACTGGTTTTAATCTGTTCAGATTTAGTGACACTGGTTTTAATCTGAACAGTTTTAGTGACTGGTTTTATTCTGTTCAGTTTTAGTGACACTGGTTTGAATCTGTTCAGACTTAGTGACACTGGTTTTAATCTGTTCAGTTTTAGTGACACTGGTTTTTAATCTGAACAGTTTTAGTGACTGGTTTTATTCTGTTCAGTTTTAGTGACACTGGTTTTAATCTGTTCAGATTTAGTGACACTGGTTTTAATCTGGACAGTTTTAGTGACTGGTTTTATTCTGTTCAGTTTTAGTGACACTGGTTTTAATATTTTCAGTTTTAGTGACTGGTTTTAATCTGTTCAATTTTAGTGACACTGGTTTTAATCTGGACAGTTTTAGTGACACTGGTTTTAATCTGGACAGTTTTAGTGACACTGGTTTTATTCTGTTCAGTTTTAGTGACACTGGTTTTATTCTGTTCAGTTTTAGTGACACTGGTTTTAATCTGTTCAATTTTAGTGACACTGGTTTTAATCTGAACAGTTTTAGTGACACTGGTTTTAATCTGGACAGTTTTAGTGACTGGTTTTAATCTGGACAGTTTTAGTGCCACTGGTTTTAATCTGTTCAGATTTAGTGACACTGGTTTTAATCTGTTCAGTTTTAGTGACACTGGTTTTAATCTGGACTGTTTTAGTGACACTGGTTTTAATCTGTTTAGTTTTAGTGACTGGTTTTAATCTGGACAGTTTTAATGACACTGGTTTTAATCTGGACAGTTTTAGTGACACTGGTTTTAATCTGGACAGTTTTAGTGACTGGTTTTAATCTGGACAGTTTTAGTGACTGGTTTTACTCTGGACAGTTTTAGTGACACGGGTTTTTAATCTGGACAGTTTTAGTGCCACTGGTTTTAATCTGGACAGTTTTAGTGACACTGGTTTTTAATCTGTTCAGTTTTAGTGCCACTGGTTTTAATCTGTTCAGTT